ATGTGTCCATGTGCCCATATGCCCACCAAAAAATTAATTTAAAAAAGATGCATATGGAGATTAGAAGATGACTAACTTCTAATTTCTAATGCAATTTCTAGCAATGCATCCCCTGCAATAGATTTGTGAAAAGAGTTTGGATCCCTATCTTTCCATTTTCATCATAGCTTTTTGTAAACAAATTTTCATAGCTATCTAATCATATCTAGAAAAACCATAAGGAATTATGAAGTGTTTGAATCTTTTCTAGAAATTTATCTTATTATATGCTTTTAAGAGGCATTTTATCTATTTTTGCATCATAATATATGAGGAAAATATAGAAATAAACATTTGATTAACTTTATGAGAGGTCCAGCATAAATAATTAGCTAACAGTTCTTTCCAGGGATTCTTCTCTTCCCTCTCCCTCAAACAATAAACCAACAAGTAAAAATAATCTCTTAATTAAAGGAAAGGACTATTTCAAAAGTTTCTTCGATTTTTTCCCCTATATCAACTCATAAGTTTTAAATGTCATCATCAGAACTTTATGTATTCCCTTTAAAAATGAAGCTTATGTGGCAGAAGTTATTGCTATATCTTACAGTTTATGAAACTGACAGATATCACACAGCTAATTGGGGTGACTGTAGGACTAGAAGCAGTTCTCTGACTTTTAAATCAATCCCTATGCATAACTACATTCACTCATGCATGCACACATGCCTTCAGTAGCTACTTAGTAAATTTTGTCTTGATAGGAGGGTCCTTAATACACTCTCCTTTGAGAAGTCTAAAAACTACCAAAGGAAATGCCCCCTTTCAAATAAGACATGCTTTTGTCAGGCTCTTCCCTTCAAATGGTTGCTGGCTACATTTTATGTAAACAAAACAAAACAGACTGCTGCAACTTTGATTATGACAGCAGAGTACATTCAGATGCCAATGCCATATTTGACATTCCAGGATGTGTTTAGATTTAAACTTAGTATTTTTAAAAATTAACGGTCTTCTTTTACTGAGCAGACTGGCCTCTGGAAGACCTTCACTGTGATCACACAGCTCAGATTCTCAGCTGTGGTAGCCCAGATGTCCTGGCACTTAACTGCCTGACAATTCACAATAAATGCCAGGATTATACCCAGCCAGGTCCATGGAACAACCATGGACCCATCTGGTTTATTTTTCTTCTAACAAAACAAGGTTAACCAGTATGAGAGTCTTCAAAAAGTTTATGGAAAATGCTTATTATAAAAAAAATTGTGACTGGGTTTTGAAAATATTTTGAACCAAAGTAAATTGGGTTTTAATTCATTTTCCAAGACTTTCTGAAGCACCCTCATATTTTTGAGGATCTGTGGCTTCTTAGAACATGCTCATCTTCCCCTACGCATCATCAGCATGTGCCAAGCAAAGCCTGAAGAGTCAACTTTAGCCATCCACTAACTCCCATTTTTGTTGGACTGATTCTTATCTTTGTTACAGGTCTGTGCCTTAATGTAAAAACACATTCAGCTGGAAGAAAAAAAAACAACCTGCTTCTAGCTGTACCTCTAGGACCAGAGCATCTTTTTTGGGGGGATAACATTAATATGCAATTTCTGCCTAGCAAGGATAAAATGAAGAGGAAAGAAGCAAAGGCAGGAGAGAGGGAAGGTGTGAAGGAAGGAAAGGAAGAAGAGGGGAAATGAAGGGGAGTAGGGAGGGAGAGAGAGGGGGAGGGAGGGAGGGAGGGAGGGAGGAAGGAAGGGAGGAAGGGCTGAAGATAGAGAGGGAGGGAGGGAGGGAAGGAACTGAGGAACAGCAGGGCTTGTGCTGCTCTCAGTGAATGGTGTGAGCTGTGGTCCTGTGCTGAAATGTAAGGTGTACCAGCTAAAGCCACTTTGTCCCCCAGAGTTCACCTTTCCCTTTGTCACAACACCTGAAAGTCCCACTCTAAATTTTTGGCTTTACCGATTGAATTGCCCAGCATGTAGACGGAATTCAATACACACTGAATAATGAATGAATGTTATAACATGAACTCTTGAGCCCCAGCCTTTCACCAGATTGAAAAAAAAAAATTGGATATAATGCAAGTGTATTTAGAAATTTGTTCTAGAACACCATGGAAGCACCAGGCTCCCAGAGGGATCAGTCAGATGGACACTCACAAATTTGCTCGTAGCCAACTGAGCTGAAGACAATACATTATTATTATTTGCTAGGCCGTGCTTCAAAAATTCAGTGTAAATAACTAATCATCCTCTGACAGGACTATTTTCATAGAGGTAAAACTAATAGTTATGCCACAGAAACTTCTAATATCAGCCCCTGGAAACCACATTCAGTGCTGACCTACTTTTACTATTGGCCCCGTTAAAAGAGAAAAATCGAAACAGATTTCCCTTGATAGTTTATCCCTTTTCCATGAAATAGGTTCCAGCAACTGAATTTCACTACAGTTCTAAGGAAGAACTATTATAATGCCTTTCTAGTCTTTAAAGTTTTCTATGGTAGTGTGGGATAGAATTAGAGATTAATTCCATGGAGGGGATCATAGAAAGTTAAGTTTCAGTTTTGAATCATCTATGAGCCACTTGGCAACTCTGTGAACTGCATTCATAATTCTCACCCATTCTTGGAGCCGCTAACAAGGGAAGCATTCAGGCAGTCAGTAACTGAAAAAATATTTGAGGGTCTAAACTTGTGAGAGAAAATACATATCTGGGCAAAAACTTATCCTTCTTGAAAATTCTGAATCAGTGGTTTTGTATTTCATCAAACATTAGTTATATGCTTAAAATGTATCAGGTCCTATGTTGTTAAGTAGATTCACAAACCATCAATAGCAATGCAATTAAGTAAGCCTTAAGATAGAGGTATGCAATGGTGCTACTAGAATGTAAAGGAAGGAGTGGATAACTACATATGACAACAAGAATAGATTTTTATTGTTATTATATTTGTGTGTATATGTGTGTGTTCTAATTTTATAGTCTGTTCTTACTACATTCTAGGCACTGCACTGAGTACTTTTCAGATATTCTGATAAAGTATTTATAGCATTTTAGAAAGTGATCACTTATTTTCTCCATTTCAGCCTTGCATGTGTGAAGGAAAGCTGGGCGGGGTGGGGGTGGTAAGAATGGTGGCATCAAAGATAAGAAGGGCTATGCAATGAATGGGCTTTGCAGTACACGTAATATGAAGTCAGAGGACTATTGTAGAATTTCTATACAAATAGTAGCATGGTCTCCTTTTGTATCACAAAGAGCACTCAGTATTTACAATGGAATGATGAAGATATGTGCTGAAGAACTTTCTTCAGAAATGTTTTTCTGGGTCACAAACATTAGACAAGGTCAATATAACCTAAAGCTCTTAGAGAATAAGTCACATAAAAAAAGCATATGGGTGGCTGGCACTGTGGTGTAGCAAGTAAAGCCACGGCCTGCAGTGCTGGCATCCCAGATGGGTGCCAGTTCGAGTCTTGGCAGCTCTACTTCTGATCCCGCTCTCTGCTGTGGCCTGGGAAAGAGTTAAAGATGGCCCAAGTCCTCGGGCCCCTGCACCTGTGTAGGAAACCCAAAAGAAGCTCTTGGCCCCTGGCTTTGGTCAGCTAAGCTCTGGCCATTCTATTTCATCAAACATTAGTTATATACCTAAAATGCATCAGGTCCTATGCAGTGCTTGGGCCCCTGCACCCAGGAGGAATCGCCTGGCTCCTGGCTTCAGATCGGCGTAGCTCTGGCCGTTGTGGCCACTTGGGGAGTGAAACAGTGGATGAAAAACCTCTCTCTTCTCTCTCTCTTTGCCTCTGCCTCTCTGTAGCTCTGCCTTTCAAATAAATAAATAAATCAAAAAAAAAAGGCATATGGAGCCTTCAGTAAGATAACTTAGTCAAGGCAAGGTAGAATCCCCCAATCATCATGCTGATAGCTTTAAAAATAGTGCTTCAAGTACTGGTTCATTCATTCAATGGCATTATGTTTTCTACTGGTGGTACTTTGTGGGGATAGGAGAATCAATAATAACCTGAAAAATGTATTGCCAGATTCTTCCTGATAAATGTGATAAAGTTCTTACCCAGAGAATGAATCAGAATTGCTTCCAATTTTGAGAATTAAGTAAAAGAACAACATACATTCTGCTTCACCTAATACCTGTAGATAGTGGTTTTTTATTTTTTTTTTTTAATAACAACAAAAATCTTTATTGAATTACAAATTTTAAAATGGATCACTTAATTTAAAAGTGGGACTATTTTTATTATTCTTAAATTCACTCTGTCAAAAACTTGTTTGGTTTTAAAATGATAAAAACAGAGTCATCTGTGAACTGACAAAGCACAGGTGTACTGCTGGGCCCTTTCAATGTTTTCTCTAATACATCAAAATGACTTATAAGAGGAAATGGGAAAAGGAGGGCAAAGGAGAGTGCAAAGCGCATACCGAAGTCTTTCTACACATGTCTGACAGAATGCATCCAGCACAATGGAACACAGACTTTGCCACAGTGGCCTTAAGATATTCTACAACAAGTATACTCTAGGGTACACTTTTTTTTTTCCTTATTTTAACCAGAACAAATGGTGTTTATCTAAATAGAAAGTAACACTCACTTTTATCATAAAACTACTTGCGATAGTCCATATTTTCAGTTTGTTCAACAACCTTATTCATCATCATGTAACAAAAAGTTAGCAAATAAGACTCAGGACAAAAATATTTTCTAGCAACTTTTATAGTTAAAGACCACAGCTTTAATTATTTTATACAATCATTACGTTTAATCCTTGGTCAGTATAAATGTCCAAATCAAAATCGAGTCATGAGCTGTTTACAATAACTACCCTATACTAAGATACTAACATTTTCTTCTCAGTATGTCTTCCCATGAGGGGGGAAAATCATCCAAAGCTTTTATTCCTCGCCTGTGAGGGCATTTATGAAAATCCTACTGAACTACAAAGGTGGTTTCTGCAAAACTAAAATACACTACGAAGTTAAACAGGTAAATAAACAACAAAACCAAACTGATTTCAACAAAGTCAAGTCATATTTCCAAAAGTAAAATCTATTAAGAACAAGTAATATACATATACAAGAAATGATGATCATGGTTAGTTACAGATGCAAAATAATATCTAATTATCCAGGCTTGTGAATAATTAAAATCAAATTCATGTGCTAGTTCAAATATTATATACAATTTAGATAAGCTGGTCAAGTATCATTTGAATACACACCATATTTGGTAAACTTAAAATTATATTACCTTTTATATTCCTGTAATATCTGGTGTAAGTACATGCCAATATAGAAAACAATGTAATTTTCATTTATGGGTTAACAGAGTGACAGAAAATATCTACTGTGTATGTTTCAGAATGTAAAAGTTAAAGAACTTTTTTAAGGAGAAAAAAACCTTAAATTACTGAAAGTTTAACTGATGAAAGTTTAATGTCAACTTACTTATAAAACAGATGCCATATAATTAATATATGGTGGCCCTACTGATCTGACTACAAAAGGCATTTAAAGGAAGGGATGTTCAGTTGAAAACAGATTAATCCAAGGGATGTATGTTGCTTTAAAAATTTGTTTTGCAGGAAAACTAGTTGCTTGGCCTAGTTTGAAAGCTAATTACAAAATTCGTTTTCTTAATGGTCCAGATATTTTGCCAATTCTTCCAACTCAACAGAACTTCCATCGATTTCCACATTCATTGCAAACAACAAATGTGGTCATCGGTTCATCAGCACTACGGGTTTGCACCTGAGTGTAGGTGCAATTCTTCTTTTTACATTTGCCACATGTGAACAAGTCAGTCTGCGTTCCACCTGTCTTGGCCATCTGATGTTCTCTGATGGCTTCTTTGGTCAAGTTTTTCCGCATTTCTTTGAGCTCATCACTAGCCATTTCCTCTGCCGTCATTCTAGCAAATAAATCAGGAGGAATATTCCCACACAATACATTTTTCCTTAAATTTGGATTTTTTGCATCTTTAAGATTTGATATCCTACTTCGTACTCTATTTTTGTATTTCATGTCTGTATTCCTTATTTCTTGGTATATAGCTTCCTCAATTTGAGATCCCAATTCTTCCTCATCAGCTCCAATGGCAACGTAGTCATCTCCTGTTCGGAGAGCAGCAGCCAGCATCTCCCTACACTTTAACCGCACAGAATCAGAAGTGCTTGGTGCCCGAGGAAAAGATGAAACGTAAGTATCTCGAGCATTTGTCTCATCCTTTCTGTTGCTCACGTTGCCACTGGAGCTTTCCTCTCTTGCCTCAGGGCTATTCTGTGATGTAATTGCAGGTTCTTTTTTCTTTTCTTCAGGGTCTTTTTCTGTTGATGGTCCATCTAATAGCTTTTTCCAGGATTTGATGAGAGACTTTGCTAAAGATGTAACTTCTTCATCTGTACTTTGCTTGCGAATAGCGTTAACTGACATTCCAATTCTTGTGGACTGTAATAATTCCAGGGTCATAGGAATATTCTTAAGCTCCTTCAACAAATCCAATGCTCCAGCCGCGTTCTTCTTCTGCACCATCTTGTCCATCTTCTTGGCGATGCGGACTACCTCGTCTTCCATGGCGCCGGCAGGTCTTCCCCGCGCCCAGCCCTCTGGGGCCGCGAAATGGCAGAAGGTGGCGTGGAGAGGACGTAGAGCGGTCGCGAGCCCCGGCGTCCGGCGACTCCCACCACGGCAGGCCCCGGCCTAGGGCCTTCCTCACACACCAGACCAGAGGCGGCAGCCGGTTTTTTATTTTTTTAAGATTTTTATTTATTTATTTGACAGGTGCAGGTGCAGGGGCCCAAGGACTTGGGCCATTTTCTACTTCTTTTCCAGGCCACAGCAGAGAGCTGGATTGGAAGAGGAGCAGCTGGGACTAGAACCGGCACCCATATGGGATGCTGGTGCTTCAGGCCAGGGCATTAACCCACCACGTCACAACGCCGACCCCAAAGCTATTTTTTATTATAGAATTTGAGTGTTACAGTTTGTTGTCAACCCTTCTTGTATCTCTAGGGAATACATGGAGCTGTGAAAGCTTTTATGACAATATGTTTGAGTTTCTACAGCTTATCTGCATCTAACAAATAAGATCCATGTCTAGTACTGTCTTTTGGAAATGAGAGAATTCTGTACTGGCCTTATCCAGTCTCTACCAGGGAGATAACCCCAAAATTGTGAGTACACCTTCTCATAACAAAGGAAGATGTTGTAGTATATGAACCTAACACTGTTTGCCTGTACAAAATTACAAGACGGTCTTTTTTTAATGATAAGGAGGCAATTTTCCAATGTCAATATTAAAAGGAGTAGAAGTTTTACATTTCCAAATGTTACTGGAGCTAAGTGGAATTTTTGGAAAATATCTCTAAGGCCCAGAGAAATCTTTTTCAGGTGTAGTTTAGAGTTATTAAAAATAACCATTGGGGCTGGTGCTGTAGCATAATGGGTAAAGCCGCCACCTACAGTGCCAGCATCCCAAATGGGCACCGGTTCCAGTCCCTACTGTTCTAGTTCCAATCCAGCTCTCTGCTATGGCCTGGGAAAGAAGTAGAAAATGCCCCAAGTCCTTGGGCCCCTGCACCTGCGTGGGAGACCCGGAAGAAACTCCTGGCTCCTGGCTTTGGATTGGTGCAGCCTCAGCCATTGCAGCCAAGTGGGGAATGAACCAGCAGATGGAAGACCTCTCTCTCTCTCTCTGCTTCTCCTCCCTCTGTGTAACTCTGACTTTCAAATAAATAAATAAAACTTTAAAAAAACTATTAAATACTGAATTGAGAAAGACATTCTACAAATTCCAGTACTCTCAGTTATGAAAACATTTTAAAATTTTAAATTAATTTCTTAATAAAATTTTCAAGAACATTATTTCACTTTATTCTAGTGCCCAATTGAATCATTATACAAAGCCTAGGAACTCAAGGTTTTCTATAGAAAATGATCCACCTCTTGAATAGGATTCAATATGAAGTCAAATGTATTTAGGACTCATTGAGCATGCATTAATATGTCCTTATTTATTCAGATTAAGTTGCTGGAAAAAATTGAACACCTTCATGTTAAGATATTTTGATTAGAAGGGGTGATTCATGGTGGAAATGCGTGGAGGACATGGGAGCCCACTGCTCAGGACACCAGCAGCAGAATCAACACACCATCGCTGGAACACCAGGTAAGCCGAACCTCAATAGCCCGAGACACCAGCGGGAAAGTGGAAGGAAGAGACTAGAGGGAACGAGGCTTGAAGCCTCGTTGGGGAAAGTTCACCAGGATAACTAGAAGAGAGAGGGAAAAAAAAAGTGACCAGTATGGACATGAGTTTCTCTCTCTCCAATAACCTCTCAAAGGCAAGCAAGACAAAGAGCAGGCACCATTTTGGACATAGGTAAAAGCGGCGCTACCTCAGGGCTGCACCCGCCCTCAGCCAAGCAGAAAAACTTGACTCTGGGAGGGTGAAATAACAGGAGATTAGGACCTAGAGAATGTGTGGTGCTAATGAACTGAGACGTGAAAAAAGAGACTGTGGGTGAGAGAACTCACGGAGTTCATGTGAGTACTCTCCAAAGATGCTACAATTCAGTAACCTTGGCAACCCAGTGGGAGACTGCAGGAGAATTTGAGCCCACACAGAGGGCAGAACAGATTCCCTGTGTGGTCCTTGGGAGAGCAGGCAAATGATATACCCACAGGAGCCAGAGATCAGAAGCTCACTACCTTCATTCAATTCCGCTCAGCTGTGCAGAATTACTTTCCTTCTGAATCAAAAAAAAAAAAAAAGAGAGAGAGAGAGAGAGAGAGAGAGGAAGGGAGATTTACCATGCCGAACCTGGGAGTGTCACCTATGGCACACCCTTAACTCTGAGGAACCAAACTGAGTTCTCTGGCCACACCCATCTCAAGCCTCTAAGGTTCCATCAAAAGCAGACAGTCCACTTAATATAGTCATAGTATAACAAGAAAAAAATACCACAACGAGGGAAGAAGAATCCAAAGAATATCTACACAATGCCAAACAACAACCGCAGAAACCGAGAAAACAAGAACAAGGAAGACATTATGAGGGCTCCAAGTGAACAAGACACCCCAAGCCAAGATTATGAAGATGATGAGATAGAAGAAATGCAAGAAACGGATTTCAAAAAATTTATAAGAACATTTAAAAGTTTTTTTTTAAAAAAAATTTCAGTTCACAATTGATCATAATGAAAGGACTAAGAGTCAAAGGGAGCACATAAACAAGTCTAGTACCTGCTAACACTAACCAATGGAATAAATAAAGGGGAGAGTGATCCAACATGGGAAGTGAGATACTCAGCAGACTCATAGAATGGCAGATGTCCTAACTAGCACTCTGGCCTCAGAATCAGCCCTAAAGGCATTTGGATCTGGCTGAAAAGCCCATGAGAGTATTTCAGGCATGGAAAGCCAAGACACTCTGGCAAAAAGATCTCTGTGAGTGAGATCCCAGTGGAAAGAACAGGTCTTCAAAGAAGGAGGTACCTTTCTCTGAAGGGAGGAGAGAACCTCCACTTTGACTATGACCTTGTCTAAACAAGATAAGAATCGGAGAACTCAGAGGGCTTCCATAGCCTTGGAAACTCATGACTGGAGCATAGGGAGATTACTGATGCCATAGACAGGAGTGTCAATTGGTAAAGTCAACAACAGGAGTCACTGTGCACTTACTCCTCATGTAGGATCTCTGTCCTTAATGTGCTGTGTATTGAGATTGAATGCTATAACGAGTACTCAAACAATATATTTCACTTTGTGTTTCTATGGGGGTGCAAACTGTTGAAATCTTTACTTAATGTATACTAAACTGATCCTCTGTAAAAAAAAAAAAAAGAGAAATTATCAACTCCCAACTTGACTCTCACTGGGATTAAACATGACAATAGGTCTGATCTGATTTCATCATCACTTAAAAAAAATCATCTATTATTTTTCACTTTATGTTTCTGTGTGAGAGCAAACTGTTGAAATCCTTACTTAATGTATACTAAGCTGATCTTCTGTATATTAAGATAATCTAAAATGAATCTTGATGTGAATGGAAGGGGAGAGGGAGTGGGAAAGGGGAGGGTTGTGGGTGGGAGGGACGGTATGTGGGGGAAGCCATTGTAATCCATAAATAGTACTTTGGAAATTTATATTCATTAAATAAAAGTTAAAAAAATATATATTAAAGATTAAAAAATATCCATAAAAAAAATGCTTGAGCAACAGAAATCCTTACTGGACAGGATAGAAAATCTCTCTCATGAAAAAGAAATCTTAAGAAGCAATCAAATGAAATGCAGAAACTAGAAGAACAGGAAAGTGTGATAGTGAAGAGAAAGCAAAATAAAATGAAGAACTCAATGGAACAAATGACAAACACATTTGAGAGCCTTAAAAACAAAATGGGTGAAGCAAAAGAGAGAATATCAGACATGGAAGACAGAGCACGGAAAATATACAATCAACCCAAAGAAAAGAAGAGGAAATTATAAATCTAAAAAATGTTGTCGGGAATCTACAGGATACTATTAAAAAACCCAACATTCGGGTTCTAAGAGCTCCTGAAGGCATGGAGAGGCAGAAAGGATTAGAAGGCCTTTTTAGTGAGATACTAGCAGAAAATTTCCCGGGTTTGGAGAAGGACAGAGACATCCAAGTACAGGAAGCTCATAGAACCCCTAGTAAACATGACCTAAAGAGATCCTCACCACGACACGTTGTAATAAAACTCCCCACAGTGAAACATAAAGAAAAGATTCTAAAATGGGCAAGAGAGAAACGTCAGATTACTCTCAGAGGATCTCCAATTAGACTCACAGCGGACTTCTCATCAGAAACCCTACAGGCTAGAAGGGAATGGTGAGAACTAGCCCAGGTACTAAGAGAGAAAAACTGCCAGCCTGGAAAATTATATCCTGCAAAGCTCTCATTTGTGAATGAAGGTGAAAAAAAGAACTTTCATAGCAAACAGAAATTGAAAGAATTTGTCACCACTCATCCAGCCCTGCAAAGATACTTGCCCCAACAGGTGGAGTTAGAAATGTGCCAGGGGATTCCAATACAATCCCATCAAGATTGCATGTACCAACGCCATCTCACTAGTCCAAGTGATCAATTTCAATTCACAATTGATCACACTGATAGGTCTAAGAGTCAAAGGGATCACACAAACAAGACTAGTGTCTGCTAATACTAACTGATAGAATCAAAAAGGGAGAGAACGATCCAACATGGGAAGTGGGATACACAGCAGACTCATAGAATGGCAGATGTCCTAAACAGCACTCTGGCCTCAGAATCAGCCCTTAAGGATCTCGGTTCTGGCTGAAAAGCCCATGAGAGTATTTCAGGCATGGAAAGCCAAGACATTCTGGCCAAAAAAAAAAGAGGACCTAAATGAAAGGTCTCTGCGAGTGAGATCCCAGTAGAAAGAACAGGCCATCAAAGAAGGAGGTATCTTTCTCTGAAGGGAGGAGAGAACTTCCACTTTGACTATGACCTTGTCTAAATAAGATCGAAGTCAGTGAATTCAAGAGGCTTCCATAGCCTTGGAAACTCATGACTAGAGCCTAGGGAGATTTCTGATGCCATAAACAAGAGTGTCCAGTTGTTAAGTCAACAACAGGAGTCACTGTGTACTTACTCCTCATGTGGGATCTCTGTCCTTAATGTGTTGTCCAATGTGAATTAATGCTATAACTAGTACTTAAACAGTATTTTACACTTTATGTTCT